CTGAGTTTGGGAGGGGCGGAGGCCGCCCGCAGCCTGAGCCGCGGAGCCCCGGAAGCTGGGAGACCTAGCGCCGGTGATCGTTAGGTGGCCGCTGTTATACCCAAGCCGCAGTATGCTCGGTCGCAGATCACTGAGTTCAGACAAAAAGAGGGATTTTAGGGTCGGGGACGGCGGGTTGGGCGCGGTGGAGTAGGGCTGGGACTCTCCCTGTAGGGTAGTGTCCCCGTCCCGATGCTTAGAGCTCGCGGGCGCTGGGGCGGCGGGCACCTGGAGTCCTCACCTCTCGGTGTCGGCGGGCGTCTGCCTGCAGGGGCGGCTGCTTGGAGATCGCTGGTGCGCGCTCCCCGCACCAGACCCCACTCATTTCCTTGTATTTGGGGCGACAACAGCTGCTCCGAGTGCCCTCGACCGCGCGTGGCCGAACCTCCTCCACTTGCTGGAGGAGGCGGCCACTTCTGCATTTCCCCTCCGGCTTCTCGCCCCCGCTACCCGCGGGGTGCCTAGCGGGCTGATCTAGTTTGACCTTTTTTTTTCCGTCCAAGTATCTTCCCCCACCTTCACCGCGCCCCGCGGCCTCTAACTCCCTCCCCAGCCTCCAAGAGTCGGGGTGCCTCCGGAATCCCGCGTGGGCCAACGGCATGCAAAGCCAGGGAGGGAGAATGGGGATGTTCTCTGGGGTGGGGGCGGGTGTCCCAGGTTCCTGCTTTGTAGCTCGGGCCCCGAATTTACCCCTGAAGTTCAGCCCCTGGCCTCCTCCCCTTCGCTTCCCTGGGGCGAGGGGCTGAGCCGCCGCGAGAGGAATGTGTTAATTTTCTGACTGGGGGAAGTTGTCCTAGCCCAGAATGGGCTGCTTTCCGGCGGGGCGCGCGGGGTGCGCCTGGCTTTGTTTATTTGTAGTATCGACCGAAAGTGAGTGACCCCTGTTTTTAAATGAGGGTCCAGTCCAGCATCTGTCAGTAGAGGTGAAGCGCCCAGTGAGAGAGCGATCGCCCCCCTTCTCTTTTTCTCCCCCGGGAATCGGAAGGGGTGCGCGGAGTTGGGCTAGAGCCACGGGCTGTGCAGAGGCACCGGAGGATTTGCACAGAGGCACCGGAGGATTTGGGGGGTGCTCTGTAGTGACTCATCCGGAAAGACCTGCTCCCTGGAGTCTCTTGCGACGGGGTCTGAAGGCTTGGCAGCCGCGCCTTACTGTGCTCCTTGGACCCTGGGTGGTCTGAGAGTCGAGTCTTCGGGTTGGGGGTGCTGGACTGGGTGGGGGACAGCGGGCCAGCCTCTTGATCCCCGCCTTTCCTTACGCCTTTGGCGCTGTTCGGAGCCCTAGGTTTTGCAGTGGGCCCAGCGGCTCCCCCCTCCCCTCCCCGCGTTCTCTCAGGAAGCGCTGCGAAGGGGGGCGTGTGTGATCGCTC